TCTATCTCCAGGCACCATTCCGGGGACTTTTCCCCTGCTCTCAGAACTCCTGTTACCCATCCCTCCAGAACGCTACCGTGAACTCCCCAGCTCACAGGTTACCACCCCCTGATTCTCTGCATTTGGGGCCCAATCCCTCAGCAGTACTACAATGACATTCTGGGCTTCTGCGTGATTCTGTTAAACAAAGAACACCGGGGGAACGATGCCAGGCCTTCCGATGTCTCTTCAGGCGCTTCCTCAGGCAGGCCATGACTTGTTCTCTGGTTTGATCTCGTGCAGGATATTCCTGCAGTGTGTACGACAAAATATACATCCATACACCTCTATACAGAGTTCCTGGGAAGGATCATCTAGAGGATCAGTGATGTAAACTATCAGAGAAGTTAAGCAGAAGAACTCCCAAAAAGAACTACGATAGCGGAGATCATGAAATTAAAAATATATATATATTATTCAATTCTAATACAGAAACAACATTTGATTCCCACACTTATAAAGCCTCCGTTGCTGGGTAATGGAGTCTGCCTAATTCCCCAGGGCAACCCCACGTAGGACATCTCCTTAAGACACATGGCTCCCTGTACTTGTAACAAACCTGGTCCATACCAGGCCTCTTTCGCTGCCCCACAGTGGATGTGTGGGTCTCGAGAGTTTTTAGCAGAGCCGGCCCTCGTACAGCAGACAGCTTAACCATGCTCATGCCTTGCACAGAAGACCGAATTGAGAAAGCAGGATAGGAAGTTGTTGGAAATAGAACTCACTTGCTCAGCGAGTAGAAACGTGACATCAGTGCCATGGGCAGCGCTCAGTGAGCAAGTGAGCCAGCTGCAGGGAGATGCTGCCCTCGAGAGCAGGCAGCCGGAGATTGCCTCTTGCTGGGAGCTGCTCGCGGTGAGGGGAGTTAAAGGAACGCCAGGACAGCAACGTGGGGACGTGTGACCACAAGGCTGTGCGAATGTCTCCAGCAAAGGAAGCAAAGAGACCCAGCAGACAGCGACGCTTCATTAGCGTAACAAAACGCAGCCCCCATCCCTCCCTTCCCCGGGTGCAGATGTGCCAGGAGAACGAGCTGTGTAACTGCCCGAGGCCCGGCAGCCGGCTCGGGGCGTGCTCGCTGTGGGAATTGCTGCCCGGCACCTGAGGCTGTGCCGAAGCGGCCAGAGCCTGGCCGGAAGCCATCCGGGCAGCACCGCGGAGGCAGGAGGAGCAGCGAGGCCGTGCTGCGGCCAGCTCCGGGCTGAGGGCACTCGGCATCCTCTGCTCTCCGCGACTCCCAGGAGCCCGGTTGCCTGCACCAGAGGCGGGAGCAGCCTGCTCCGCACCCGAGGTAGGAGCCCTTCGCGGCTGGGGCAGAGGAGCGCACATTTCCTGCCCCCTGCCAGCAGCAGCGGGAGGCGAGCGGGGAGCGGGGCGGAACCGGCACCGCTGTAGAGCAGGCCGGAGCCCCGTCCCGGCTGCAGCTCCCGCCCAGCACAGCGGGTTTGCTGGGCCAGACGGGCTGCAACGAGGGAGCAGCGGTTCCCAGGCGTGTTGCAGCCCGGCTTGGGCTCCGAGGGGCGCAGGAAGGGGTTGGAGCTGGGACAGCGGGGAAGTGAGCACAGCAGCTCAACGTGCTCTGCTGCCCGGTTGGCTCTCTGGAACACAGCGCAGCTCGACTGCGTTTCTCCCTCTGGGCCACGGGAGACACGAGATGGCCTCGCTCCGCAGCTCTGCACGCAAGGATTGATGGAACTTTTAAACTCCCCGATGCCTCCTTTTCAGCGTCTGAATGCGAAGCCTCCAAGGGGGGAATTTCAAGTCCCTTCTCCCTCCCCGGCAGCCCGCAGTTTCCCTTCGGGGACCCAGCAGGCAGCATCTGCCTCTAGCGGCCCTTTCAGGGTTACCTTTTGTGCGCTTAGCGCTGGGCTGATGGCTCACCTGGGATCGTGCAAACCCCTGCCAAGGCTTTTGTTCAGGCTGTCCCGGCAGCTGCAGATGCCTTTAGCGCACAAGTGCGGGCCCTGAGCACATCCGGCATCTGCAGCAGGTCCGGCACTGGGCTGTGCAATAGACGCTAAAAAGCTGGCGGGCTGTGGGCTGACTGCAGCTCACGTTGAGAACGCGCCCGAGCTGCACGTCAGCAAAGTGCAGCCCAGGCTGCGTCGTGCAAAGGGCGCACGGTGCTGAGAAGGTCCCCGGGAAGCGAGCGCGGTGTGCGTGCGGAGCTGAATGGGAAGCAGCGTCCCCAGGTGGGCGAGGAGGGAAACGCATCCGCCGCGGCATTCTTGGTGCAATGGGGGAACTGGGATTTTTTGGCTTGGAGAAGAGAAGGGTCTGGGCAGAGCTCGTGGTGGCCTTCTGGGACTTCAAGGAAATGCATAAAGTGGAGGAGGAACGACAGCTTACGTGGGTGAATAGTGGCAGGACGAGGGGGAATGGTTTTAAATTGAGCCGGGGCGACTTAGGTTAGATATCAGGAGGAAGTTTTGCATTCAGAGGGCGGAGAGGGACATGAAAAGGTCACCCACAGAGGACATGGATGCCCAATCCTTTGGGGTATTCGAGAGCAGGTGGACGTGGCTCAGGGCTGGCCAATGTGGTGGGTGGCATTCCTGTACATAGCGAAGGGTTGAAACTAGTTGTTCATTGTGGTCCTTTTCAACCCAGGCTATTGTATGATTCTGTGATTACCTTGAAATCATCACTGTAACACATAACTATAGAGATGCTCATGAATTTCCAAAATAACCTTGCACCTCTTACAGAAGATCTGTGTACGCAAGCTGTCTTGACAGCAAGCTGAGAGGGATCTCTGTACAGCTGTGACCTTGAGAGACAACCCTGCTTGTGGGAAGATCCTGTAGTTCGGCCCATTGCTGTGCAGTAGAGCTCGAGGGGCGCTTGCGCTGCACCCTGTTTAGGGGTAAGAGGAGTGACTCATTGCCATGCATTGTCTTAAGTCCCTGTTTGAGTGAGCTTTGTGATTTGTAATCAGCTTTAGCCAGAGTGTTACCAGTGCTGTTGCTGATTGTCTTCCTGTGCAAGGCCTCTTGTTGCCATCCCCCAGGCAGTGCCCTGCAGATGGGCTGTGGAGGGCTGGGCTGGGACAGGGACTGCTGCGTTCCCTCACAGCTCCCCTGGCATTTCCCTTGTCCCTGCAGGCTCTGGTTCAACTTCTGCCTTCCAGCTGTGATCATCTCACCTGCAGGAGAGCAGCAGATGGCCACAGCACATCCATGTCAGGTAGGGGCTGGGGGAAGCAGGCAGGAGAGGCCAAGGGGCGAGGGATGTGAATGCAGGGGGAGAGGGAGGTGGCCTCAGGCAGCGTGTGTGTGCTGGGGCCAGAGAAGCGGCTGGGACGGGAGTTTGTGTCCTGTTTGAGCTGCTTCCCTGGGCCTTGGCTGTTCCCAGCAAGGAGCCTCTTTGCTTGCAGGAGCCCGTGAGCTTTGCGGAGGTGGCCGTGTATTTCAGCAGGGAGGAGTGGGCGCTGCTGGACCCTGCGCAGCGAGCGCTGTACCGGGACGTGATGCTGGAGACGTACCAGTGCGTGGCCTCGCTGGGTGAGGGCTTTGCTGCCTTTCCTCCTCGTTAGGGCACCTTTGGCTGTGCAGAAGGAGCCTCTGCAGGCCGGGCCTTGAATGATCACCATGCAGTTCCATATTGATAACTACAACAGCAGCAAAGGAAGTGCTGAGAAGCATGAGTTTCAGAAGGGATTAGGATGCACAGCAGGCTCACAAACGCCCCAGAGTCAGTGCTGGCAAGCAGGCATCAGCCAGGAGGGAGAGAACCAGCCCTTCCATTGGGGCTTTATATTGTGCCACCAGCTGCAGCTCACAGATGACTCCCTGCTTACTCCTTTACAGTGTAGGATTTTCCATTCACTTGCCGTTGACATTTTGATGCCTTGATCACTGATATATTGTCAGAAAATAAACAAGCCGTTCAGAAGTGAATTTTAAAGAGAATATCCCTTCCTAATTTTCAGAGTTGTAAAAGCGTTCTTTGTTCCAAAGGAAGCTGTGGGCCCAGTGTCATTCGTGTCCAAAGTGTGTTTTCTCCCTGGGGAGGGACACAGAGTAGAGCTGTTGAACAGGCACTGTGCCAGAATGATGGAAATGTTCTCATCTCGCCTGTTTCTCTGCTTGAAGCTCCACTTCCAGCCCCCAGACCAGTGCTGATCTCCCTGCTTGAAGGAGGGGAAGAGCCCTGGATCCCAGATGTGCGTAGCCCTGAGGCCGTGCCAGGAGACCTCAGCCCAGGTGAGGTGGTGGAGGGAAGGAGGAGGTTGGGGCTGGAAGAGCCATCTCTGTGTGTGTTTTATTTTGGTCACTGTGTGCTATTTCTGGATTTCCTCCTTCATCCAGCAGGAACTGGGGTTACAGATCTACTGGAGGATCTGCAGGAAAGTGGTGTGGCCAAAAGGCGGTGGGGTGGTGTCTGTGTGGAAGAAATCAGAAGGGATGTCCAAGGAGGCCTGGAGCAAGGTCAGGCAGAGCACATCACCAAGATGCCACCGGGAAAGTGTCTGCAAGAGAAAGGAAGGAGCCCACTGGATTCGAACATAGGTCAAAAGGAGCGTGAAGAAGCCAACTCAGCAATGAGTGCATACAAGTGCTCTGATTGTGGTAAGAGCTTCAAAAAGAGATCCCAACTCACTTACCACCAACGCATCCACGCTGGAGAGAGACCCTACAGGTGTTCTGAATGTGGCAAGAGCTTCAATAGAAGTTATAAATTGAAGTGCCACCAGCGTGTTCACTCAGGCAAGAGACCCTTTCAGTGCTGTGACTGTGGGAAGAGCTTCAGAAGCAGTTCTAAATTGAAGCTGCGCCAGTATATGCACTCAGAGGAGAGACCCTACAAGTGCTCCAAGTGTAGGAAGAGCTTCAAAAGCACTTCTGATTTGAAGCGCCATGAACGCTTCCACTCAGATGAGAGAGCCTTTCAGTGCTGTGAGTGTGGGAAGGCCGTAAAAAGCCGTTCCCATCTCATCTACCACCTGCGCTTCCACACAGGAGAGAAACCATTTCAGTGTCATGAGTGTGGGAAGAGCTTCAAAAGCAGTTCTGACTTGAAGCGCCACGAGCGCCTCCACACAGGGGAGAAACCCTACAAGTGCCCTGAGTGTGGGAAGAGCTTCATTAGCAGTTCTCATTTGAGGCAGCACCAACGCATCCACTCAGAGGAGAGACCCTACAAGTGCTCTGAGTGTGGGAAGAGTTTCATTAGCAGTTCTCATTTGAAGCAACACCAACGCATCCACTCAGAGGAGAGACCCTACAAGTGCTCTGAGTGTGGGAAGAGCTTCAAGAGCAGTTCTGAAGTGAAGCGCCATGAACGCTTCCACTCAGATGAGAGACCCTACAAGTGCTCTGAGTGTGGGAAGAGCTTCAAAAGGAGTTATGCATTGAAGCTGCACCAGCACATCCACACAGAAGAGAGACCCTTCAATTGCCCTGAGTGTGGGAAGAGCTTTACACGCAAGTCTAATCTCAATGCCCACAAGCACATCCACAGCACACATGGACTGTAGAAGCACCTCAAAACTTTGGAAACCTTCAGAAGCAGTTCCAGCCTCATTACCTACCAGCAGAGCCACACAAGACACAGAGCCTGCAGAGCCCATAACGTGGGAAGAGCTTCAGGCAGAGCCCCAGCCTGGTGACCAAGTATGGATTTGTGTAGTGATGAACCTTACAAATCCCTTGAGCAGAGGAAAAGCTCTGCGGCCAATCTAAATCCTCTTTCTCCTTCTTTGCATGAGAATTCTGCACATTGCTCTCCTTCAGCTGCAGTTGCTGTGTTGAGTGGCCATACAGAGGAGAATCCAGAGTGGGATGTGTCACAGCCACTCAAAAAGTTCTGCCAGGTGGCACGTTTCTGCCAGGGCTGTGTGCAAGGAGAGTCACCTCTTACCTCCCTCGTAGAAACTCCTGTGCCTGGGGCAGCAGGTGAGGATCCAAAGGAAACCTCAGCTGGGCTGATATGTCAGCAGGAAGGAAGAAATCCTGTCTGCAGGCTGTGTGGGAAGAGCTTCATCTGGAGCTCAACCCTCAGTAGATCCCAGAGAACCAGCCAGTGGAGAGTCCCAGTGAGTGCCTTGACTGCAGGAAGAGGTGTGTCCAGAGCTGGGAGCTCAACACACACCTGTGGATTCACATGAGGAACCCCACAAATGTGCAGCCTGCAAGAAGAGTTTTGGCCACACCTCAAACCTGCTGAGCTACCAGAGTGTCTGCACTTGGGTGAAGTCCAGTGAGTTCACGTGGCAGGAAGCCATAGAAATGCCTCGCATGTGAGAAGGGCTTTGTGCAGAGGGCAGAGTTCCTCACTGACCCTACAAGTGTTCCTGGTGCATGACTGGCACCCTCTGCAGAAGGGACTTAACCCAGGAGCTTCAGATGGCCTTTCCTTGCTACCCAGAGCAGTTCTCTCACCATGCTTGGTTTCTTCTGCTCTTCCTGCCAGCAGCTTTTTGATGCCGTTTCCTAAGGAGAAGCAGCTGTGCAGGGATGTTCTGTGTGTCTGTGTGCATGTGTTGCTCTCAGTAATTTGTGAGTGCACTGATGAACCTGAGAGAAGGGTCAGGAGAGCAGTAACGTGGCTCTTGGAGGTTTTCTGAGAATCATCTGTAGTGGAAGGCGTAGAGGGTGAATAAAGAAGCTGAGTTGTTCTGAATCTTTCTTCAGTGTAGTCGTTTGTTGTTCTTACAATGAATGTCAGCATGTGGAATGAGGAGAGGGAAAGCCTCACCTCTGTCCCTGGAAAGGTGATGGAACAGCTTGTGCTGGATGTCATCTCCAGACAACTGGAAGAAAAGGAGGTTATCAAGAGTAGTCAGCATGGGTTCACCAGGGGGAGGTCGTGTCTGACCAACCTGGTGGACTTCTGTGATGTTGTCTCTGGCTGGGTGGATGAGGGGAGAGCAGTGGATGTAGTCTACCTTGATTTCAGCAAGGCTTTTGATATTGTCTCCCACGACATCCTTATAACAAAGCTGAGGAACTGTGGGATAGATGAGTGGACAGTGGGGTGGGTTGAGAACTGGCTGACTGGCAGAGCGCAGATGGTCGTTGTTGGTGGTGCAGAGTCTGGTTGGAGGCCTGTAACCAGTGGTGTTCTTCAGGGGTCTGTGCTGGGTCCTTGTTCAACATCTTCATCAATGACCTTGATGAGGGGATGGTGGCCACCCTCAGCAAGTTTGCCGATGATACAAAGTTGGGAGGATTGGCTGACAGCCTGAAGGCCGTGCTGCCATTCAGCGAGACCTGGACAAGCTGAGAGCTGGGCAGTAAAAAACTGGATGAGGTTCAACTAAAGCAAGTGTAGAGTCTTGCATCTGGGGAGGAATAATTGCATGCACCGGTACAGGTTGGGGGATGAGCTGCTGGAGAGGAGCTCTGTGGAGAGGGACCTGGGACAGGTTGGCCATGAGCCAGCAGTGTGCCCTTGTGGCCAAAACAGCCAGTGGCATCCTGGGATGCATTAAAAAAGAGCGTGGCCAGCAGGTCGAGGGAGGTGATCCTCCCCCTCTGCTCTGCCCTGGTAAGGCCTCATCTGGAGCACTGCGTCCAGTTCTGGGCTCCCCAGTACAAAAAAGACAAGGATCTCTTGGGAAGAGTCCAGCAGAGGGCCACAAAGATGGTGAGGGCCTGGAGCATCTCTCCTATGAGGATAGGCTGAGTGAACTGGGTCTGTTCAGCCTTGGGAAAAGAAGACTGAGAGGGGACCTGATCCAGGTCCATAAATATCTACGATGTGGGGGGCAGAATGGTGAGGCCAGACTGTTTTCAGTGGTGAGTGGAGACAGGACAAGGGGAAACAGCCGGAAACTGCAGCATAGGAAGTTCTGCACCAATGTGCACAAGAACTTCTTTACAATGAGGTGACGGAGCACTGGAACAGGCTGCCCAGGGGGGTCGTGGAGTCTCCTTCTCTGGAGATGTTCATGACCTGCCTGGATGCCGACCTGTGTGACCTGGTGTAGGGAACCTGCTTTGGCAGGGAGTTGGACTCGATGATCTCTGGAGGTCCCTTCCAACCCCTACGATTCTGTGATTCTGTGATTCTGGAGATGATCCGGAACTCGAGTATCAGAAGTCAAACTCCCCAGTGCATAACATGATTTTATGGTGTGGAATACTGATAACCAAAAATCATAAAACCATGATGTTCCACCCCTTATTCTACATCACTACATCATGCTTAACACATGGGATTTCTGACTGCACTCCCCCAACATCAAATTCCCTTGTGGTACACACTGAACATCCCCGTTTTTCTGCATCACCCACCAGGTGGATCCAGGTCCCTGGGCAAAGACAGTTCCACGAAGAGGTTTGCCCTTCCCAGAAGCTGGAAAAACCCAAACTGCTTTTCCTAACATGTTCTTTACATGTACAACAGGGACCTTATCTCCCTCTACAATTTGCAGGGAGCTGGATTGGGTAGGACCATCTCAACTGACTGATCCTCTGGTGTCGACCAGCCAGGTGGCTTCTGCCAAATACTTCTCCCAGTGTTTAAATGTTCCACCACCCAGTGCTTTTAGCATGGTTTTTAACAACCTGTTGTAGTGTTCGATTTTACCAGAGGCTGGTGCATGATAGGGGATATGATAAATCCACTTGATGCCATGATCTTTGGCCCAAGTATCCACAAGTGAATTTTTAAAATGAGTCCCATTATCTGACTCAATTCTTTCTGGGCTGCCATGTTGCCACAGGATTTGCCTCTCCAGACCTAATATGGTGTTTCGGGCGGTAGCATGGGGTACTGCAAATGTTTCAAGCCACCTGGTGGTGGCCTCCACCATGGTGAGCACATAACGCTTACCATTGAGAGATCGTGGCAAGGTGATATAATCAACCTGCCATGCCTCCCCATATTTGTACTTTCGTCATCACCCTTCCCCCCAGAGAGGTTTCATCCTCTTTAGCTTGTTTAATTGTGGCGCATGTGTCACAGTCATGAATGATTTGTACAACAGCGTCCATACTTAAATCCACCCCTCAGTCTCTGGCCCACTTATATGTTGTGTCTCTTCCTTGATGGCCTGAGGTCTCATGGGCCCACCGAGCTAAAAATAACTCACCCTTGTTCTGCAAATCCAGGTCTATTTGAGGCACCTCAATTCTGGCAGCTTGGTCTGCTTGATGGTTATTTCGCTAATCTTCTGTAGCTCTACTCTTGGGCACATGAGCATCTACATGACGCCCCTTTATAACCATATTTTTTGTTTGGGTAGCAATATCTTTCCATAGGTCAGCAGTCCAAATAGGTTTACCCCTTCTTTGGTGGTTATTTTGCTCCCACTGCTGTAACCACCCCCATAAGGCATTTGCTACCATCCATGAGTCAGTGTAAAGATAGAGCATTGGCCACCTCTCCCTCTCAGCAACATCTAAGGCCAGTTGGACAGCCTTTACCTCTGCAAATTGGCTTGATTCGCCTTTCCCTTCAGTGGCCTCTGCAGCTTGTCATGTGGGGCTCTACAACATAGAGGTCACACAACATTTCCACCACGCCTATTTCCCTCAAATACTGGATACCCTTTTCAACTGTATCCCATTTTTTCATTGCAATCTTCAAGCCGTTTTTGAAGGGATACTTTTCCTTCACGGCTGTTAACACTCGTTCCCAGAGGGAGGCAGCCTCATCCGAACACCGACTAATTCCTCTATCGATAGCTGGATCTCTGGCAATGGCGCCTAGTTGGCGAGCTTCATGACCATCCAGAGACAAGCTATGGGCCCCACTGTCCCAACAGCGAACCAACCAGGAAACAAGAGTTTCATTCGGGCGCCGTGTAAACTCCTTTCTTGAACCTTGGATTTCAGTCATCTTTAGAGGCCGGCGAGTAGTAATAGAAACTTTCTCTTCTTCTCTTTTTTTGTTCAAGACGCGAAGACACTCCTTTCCATTTCTTGCCCTCCACAGGAGCAACTGGTATTGTTACTGGTGTCTCCTGTGATTGATTAGATTTGACTTGGGGATTTTCCCTTTTGGCTTGAACCTCAGCTCGGAAACTCTCTCTCTCCAGAATGGTATTATATAGGGCACAGTAAGCAGAAGCCAAACCCCAAATAAGTTGTACCTCCTTAGATTTATGTAAGCCGCATCGTCCCTGACTCAAATACTGGCTTAGTTTCTCCGGATCCCACAGGTGTTCAAGAGTAAAATCCCATGACACTGCGGGTCCCCATGCTTCTAAAACCTTTCCTAAACCTCTCCATATTCCCTGCCAGTCATCATTCTCTAGTTCTGGAGCAGACTCCTTCCCCTTATTACGAATGAATTGGAATCCATTCAGGAGAATTGATGACACCCTCACCAACATGACTATTAATTCAGGATTCAAAAAACGTTTGACGAACCGAGAAGAAAACCAGGAGACTGGTCTGAACATCGTGTTGTTTGTAAAATTAGCCATTCCATTTGGGATGTAGCTGTTTGTGAAATTAGCCATTCGTTCTGGGATGTAGATGTCAAAGTTCAAATCATACCACATTGCAAATAGGTAAAACATAGGTGTCTCCATCAGTGCCCTTAGGTAGTTATATATGAATGCAATTCCACAACACACAGGTGTGAGATGGATTATTGGCCAGTAGGTTGTGACTAACACCATGGCTTTTAATCCTTTAGCCAGCACTCCCAGGATAATGAGTGGGTTCATTGCTGGTGCTTGCTAAAAAAAAGGGTTAATGAATTGAAGCCAACAAGAGGAGGGGAAAAAAAAAAAGGAAAAACAAGAAAAAAAAAGGCACTACCCAGACTAAGTAGTGCTCAAAGTTTACAAATATCCCAGAACGCTGGCAGTACGCCTAATCTTTCAAGGTCAGGTTTTCCAGCACAGAAACCTGAACTATTGATAATGCTCCTTAACGAAGCTCTCTAAGAGCAGAGAGAAAAAACAGATTTGTTCTAAAAG